ACTGATTCATGATGTTTTTAATTTTGCAAAATGTTAAATTTGAAACACAAATACGTCAAGACTTACAAGTGCCGAAGTGACAGAAGATTTTGAAATAAATCTTGAGGAATTTTGTGTATCTGATTATTTGATATATCCCTGAATAAAAAAATATTCAATAGGCTTGGTCAAATTTGTGCACATTATTTTGCAACACTGGGTAATAATATATCAGTGGGTAAGCAAAAAAAATTATATAGATGCATGATACTTACAAGTCAACCAAATTTCTCAAATCATCGAATGATGCTTCAATTTCTTTTATTTTATTATTCTGGAGTTTTCTTGAACAAAAAATTATTTTTTAATTCAATGACATGCATACATCAGCTGCATAATATGTGTGCGTATGTAGAGAATGAAGGACCCTCCACAACATAATTGTTTAATTTTATCCAGACAGATTAAAATAAACACGTAAAGAAAGATAACTTTACTTTTGTTTCATTTAAAAAAAGCTACTGAAAAGTATTAAAAACGCCTTTTGAAAACTTTTATAGCTATGATCACTTTTCATCATTGTGAATCACGTCATAAACTTAACAATGTGTGTTTTTTCCTCTCAGTGGCAGTCCAGAAGAGTTCAAGATTTAAAAGTGTTACAACCGGCCAAACTCTAAAATTAATAACCAACATTTATACTTACAAAGTTACAAGTGACAACTTTCCTTTTAACCACGATTTTTTAACTTTTTTTAAATTGTTGTTTTTTAATATCCTACCAAACAATACAAAAAAATATATTAATATAAATACAAGGAAATCCTATTTATTTAATAAATAAAACATACAAAGTTTTCAACGCAGAGTTTGCATCAAACACTTTACTTCCCAAATTTGACAAATCATTATCATCAAGATACCTGGGAAAAATGAAATATTGCGCATTAATAATAAGTATAATAAAAAAATATAATAATAAAAAATCGTCCTTTTTGTGCTGTTTTAGCGAAATTTGAAAATTACATCAACTTTTTGTCGTTTGTTGGAAAAAAAAACAATTATTCGGTCATGGAATTCAATGAGATCTATGCAGTTTGTAGCTACTGCATAATTTTTATGTCCGTGGACGAATATCATGCAATACAATTCATTACGTCTATCTCTTTGTAAACCAGGTGAAGTAAATTATAGAACGGTGACATGTATATATGAATCACAGGTAGAGTATGTAATCGATCAAAACGAAAATATCATAAATATTTCTTACAGATATTGAAGCTTGCGAAGATTAGAAAACACTCCATCTTCCAGAAATCTAATTCGATTCTTTCGAAGACTCCTGCGTAGATCATAATTGAAACGTGAATTACTAGACTAAGTGTAAACTTAATCAGTATCGAATTAGTAATTATAAATTATTATATCACTCACAGCAATCGAAGATAATTTAAATTAAGGAATAATGTCTTGTCCAACTTGTAAAGTCTGTTCATACTCAAATCTCTATATAATGTATCCATACAACATTGGTATACTTTACACGTGAGTTGTGTAAAGAATAGCACGGAAAAACATCTCTAACTTTAGATGAAATGATGAATTTTTCAAACCTAGAATAAAAATCATGGTAAAACTTACAACATTTCGAGAGATTTTACCCGCTGGAAAACATTTCTTGGTATGTCTTTAAGAAAATTTGAAGGTAATCGTCTATAAAATATATAGTTTTAAATAAAAACAACATGTTAAGCATAGCTGTGCAGCAAATAAGTTAAAAGATGCAAGTTTTCACTTACAGTGTCCTTAACGATGTCAAATTATGAAAAGTCTTCTTATCTATAGAGATTATCTTGTTGCCACTAATACTTCTACATTTGTCAAAGAGAAAAGTGATACAAACGAAGGAAAAACAATCAAAGCTGAGGTAAAATATCTCCGATTATAGAAATTGAGTCATTGTTCCAATATTGACAGATCATATATCATGATGTGTTCAACTTACAAGAATTCCAAAGACGTAAGGTTTACGAATGTAGTTAATGTTACCAAGGCGTTGCCATCAAAATTTCTAGAAAATTTTTTTTTAAAAAATATAGTTGCTGCAAGCTGATTAAAAACGTTAACAACGACATGCCTTACATTGCTGTTGTTTTCTTAGGAAAGTAATCTGGTATTCGTAATAAGTTTTCAGCATAAACATATATTTTTGACTTATTTAGACTGAAAGGATGGCAACGTAGTGTTGGTGGACAATCTGAAATGAAAAGATTAGTTGGTAGCAGTATTTTCTTCGATGTGAAGTAATGGGGCATTGACGAAGTGAAATGTACTAAAAGGAAAGACTTCAAGTAGTTAAGTGTAATATATGATCAGCAGGGCGGTCGCTCGATATTGGTCGAGATTAGTCGGACATATTCATATATTTTAAGATCAGTCGGGCGTATTCATATATTCATCTGATTCCCGACTGATCTCTTTTGTTAGCTATTGTTTCGGCTACTGTTGAGCGAACATGAATACATATATATCATCTTTCCCTAAATTAAACTTCTAATGATGATAAAAAAAATGATGGCAAGGAGTTTTTCTTGAAAATGAGCTAATTTTTAGCATGTCTTACTCTTACGTATTTTTTTATGACTCACGAGCGCACAACAGAAAGAAGAACAATCTATTTATATACCAGTATTACTTCATAGAATTTCTATTGTCATCCATTGAATAGTAAATTACTTACCTATGATATCGTTCTTTTGACAAGAAACCTTGTCAACTGTAGGAAAACGGACATGTTAATACAAAATGTAACCTATTATTGGGCAATATTAAAAACGATTTTGGAAAATGAATGCTTACTCGATACCGCTTGATAGTGAATTTTAAAACCTGTTCGAACTTGAGATTCATCTGATTGGAACGTCACATAAACAACATTACGCGTGGATAAATACCCGACCGGAAAAGTGTTACCACAATAAGAGGTATATTTCCGTGAAAGAAAAGTGTCTTTGAAAACAATCGAGTCTCTACTGCAATGCTTGGCATCTTCTAAATTCATGAATAAAACAGTCAGATTGATACGCTGGTCTTGAGGTACTTTAATTTTCCAAGAACGTTTCATGTTGTTCAGGTAAACTGAGGGATAATAAGGTGAAGTTAAATATCCCGAGGAACTATTTGCCACATGTGTATGCCATTCTGAAACAGAAGAATGTAGCTTCAATGTTTTAACAAATTTAAGACGAGACGAAAAAGTTAATTCGCTAAATTTACAATTAGGTAATTAGGCGAAATCTTCAAATTTTGCATTGGCAATAGAGTAATTTGGAACAGGTTTTGTAAACATATAATTATGATTGTCATGTTTTACATATAATGTATTCTTCCCTTTCCCTCCCAATTATTCTTCCCTCGAGCTCTATCTAGCTTGTCGTTGAAACGTTCCTAGTGTACAGTCGTCTGTTATACGTTTTATACATGTTTTAACATTGCAAATTCTCTACCTTGGGCATTCTTAGGAACAGGAGAACAATAACCTTCTGTAAAGAAAATGTTATCCACGTTGACCTCGCTTAGATTGGACCATAATGTCGCTGTTACGTGAACCTAATAGGCAAAATGTTAAATAAAAACAAAATATTTTTTAAGGCAAACAGCAAACTGGCAAGAAATAAATAGATCTTATTATATACCCTGAAACTTGAAACAAGTCCCAAGGAAAGCTGACCATTCTTCCACAAATCGTGCTTTCTAGAACGTTTAACGGACCACAGCCTTTCTTTGACAGTATTTCTTGGCTGAATCCAAACATCAATTTGAGAATCCAACCCCAGTAGGCGATATGTGAAATTCATACAAATGCCACGAACACTGTCAAGAGATGACCTCATCCAGGGGGAAACCAAAGTTGATGCGGAAGGAAACGTTATGGTTGAAGCGTTGCTGATTTTTCGACATTGGAGTCGAAAACCTGCAGTAAACAGAATGTTAAATATCCCTTATTGGATGCAAACATGCATGGCATCAATGGACGCCTTGCGCTTTAGACTAATTTCTTACCTCGGCAATAAAAAGGGCATTTTCTGAAAGAGCTTACTAAAATAAGTAAAACTGCCAAGTTTGACTGCGAATTGTTGTAAAATACGGAAAATATACCCATGCGAAGTTGTCGATTTTTGTATACTTTTGTATTACGACCGGAAGTTTGTAACTAAATTAGTTACACATTTCCGCACGTAATACAAAAGTATACAAAATTTACCAACTTCGCATGGCTATATTTTCCATATTTTACAAAATTTCGCAGCCAAACTTGGCAGTTTTACTAATTTAAGTAATTTAAGTATGATCTTTCTAGCTGGGGTGATTTATTTTGTGATTTATTATAATCACTCTAGTTACTTCGATCAAAAGTTAGTCTAAAGCGCAAGTTGTCCATTATGGAATGGCACAGTCCGAGAAATATAATTAATAAAAAACTGTCAAGTTCAATGAGATATTGTGAATATATTATTCATATAATTATGTATATTACCTAGCTATTAATGTATTATAGAGAATCATCATTCCAGTGAATGTATAAATTTTTACAGGCCATTTTTTTACAGAATATTACCTCTTTTCATGGAAACATATAAGAACAATAGCTATTGCAATGTGCGACGGTTTTCATACATTTTTAAAAGATTAACCCCCTTCGAAAGTGTGAAGCATGATAAGATATATAATATTTATTCTGATTGCGATTTATAAACCTCCATGCATTAACACTACGCGCAATTTTGGGTTTTGTGGGGGTGAAATTTGGACCAGCTACTTATAGGCAGTCAATTTTATCCGTGCCAAAACGGAAATTGACCATAGTGTGAACGGATAAATTTTGCACTGTTGAAATTTGGCTAACTACTTGGCAGTTTAAAATTTCATCCGTACAATTTTTTTCTGTACCGTATACCAAAAATTGTGCGCGGTGTAAATGGGCTATAGTCATAATTCATCTTTGTAATTCATCATAAAAACTAACCTTTCCCAGCAGTGCATTCACCATGATCCACTAGTTTTGCATGCTTGTTTAGTTCAGAGTCTTTGTAAATCTCCATATCACCAGCTTCTCGGAATATACCGCAGCCGGAAGAAAGAGCCAAGATTTCGTGCGCATCGATTATCTTTGACCACATGACAGGTTTCGTCATCTTTCCAAAAAAATGCTTAACATTGCTGCATTCAAATGAACATTTTGTCTATAAAACAAGATGTAAACCGACTTTATACTTAATAAAACTAGTGTAGACATTGGCTTCGTGTTTATACAGCTGGCTTCAAGCAGTTCTGTACAAAAGCCTGACCAGGATGATTGCTAGTTACTAAGTGACGTTCTCATGGGTCAAGGATTATGATTGGTGAATAACAAAAACTTCCGATCAACGAACGTGTTGTCAAAAAATCACTTGCTGAAGCTCACTATTACTTGCTTAGACGCTTGACTATAGACAGGTCAGTGGCGAATGCACATAAGTTTATTTGAAAATGTAATTGGAATTTTTGCCATTATATTGTTCTCAGCTACAATGTCTTAATAATACCAATGAACTAATTCTTCGAGGTAATTTACTACCCAATCAGGACAAAATGGTATAAATTATTCAGCGCAAAATAAATTATATTTATATTTATATCACCTGCAGTGAACCAGGAAGGTGAAGTGATCAATCGCTACACTGAAGGACAATACTTACCTCTTGACCTAAAAATACTTGATTATCATCGGTATCAAGTGCGTCGGAGGAAAATTTTGATACTCTTGACAAAGCAATATCTGTTAAACCTCCATCTTTATAGAAACTCCACAAATTTTCAATAGTATCAATCAAAAAACAAATATGTTGCCAAGAATCAATCGAGACTGTCGCGTTTGTAGTGCTGGATAAAAGCAGAAAAAAGTAATTTATCATTTTGTTCAATTTACTATTTTATTTCATTGAAAAATATGAGATTTGTATGCATAGCCTACTCACGCATTCCAATCGTAAAACCCCACAAAAATTTGAGATCTTTCTCATAATATATTTTCACCCCATTTTTTGCCAACAAAACGATAGTCGCTCCACTGATACTCTTGTTATCAAACATACACAAAAGAATAACGTCAGGCGATTCATTTCTTTCGGTCTGTCCACTTTTAAAGAAGATTCCTTTTTTCTCATTTAGGAACTGGTAGATATAGACGTCTGAGGTCTGCTCTGTTTTGTAGACACCTACAATGCATGCATTAGTCACATTAGTACATGTCACAATTTTGACCGATATACAAATCAGGATTTTTTGCTATACACTAACCGGACAGTGTGCTTTTTGTGGATGTGTCATCAATGCCTTTTGAACGGCTCCAGGGACAACAGCTTTCTGCTGATGTATCCTTCCAGCCACACCAACCAGTTTCAAAATCACAACCCCCAACACCTGTATGAAAAGTATTAATAATACGACTTTGTAAGCTGTTCAAGGTGGTATATTATCTAGAGTTTATCCGTTGTATTATTAAAAACATCTTGCTGAAAATATCTCTTGGTACCTGGAGTATATTTGCAAATAAAACCAGCTGTATAATTTCCAAATGACTGAAGCCAACCTTTAAAACCAACCGCAACAAAAATTGGTTCACCAGCAAAACTCTTAACGGTGTCATTCACCCAATTCCTGTAAGAACTCTTGCTACCATCCAGCCACTCGAAATTTCCAGGGTATTCTTTTGCTGTTAGTCCAATGTGAGAAACATTCAGGCCAATAGAACTCATAAGGTTCATCACATAATTTTCTTCTTGTTTATCTTCAATGGAAACTAGTGTCGCTCCTCTTTCCATTTCACAGATTGCTCTAGCTTCCTTCCAGATGGTTTTGCGTGCATCTGCTTTGTAGTAACTTGCGCGAAATTTCTTCCATTCTCTTGGGCGGAATGCGGAATTTCTTTCTGCAAGCACTAAAAAGATAATGTTCATAAGTGTTTATGTTTAATGTTGCAAATGGTGGGTTTTACTAAAGTGTCTTAATCAGTGATATTAGTGGGAGACGGAAGTGACCGTATACATGTTATATATAGAACAGACCGTAGAGGAAAGAAGCGTCGCCTGGATAAATGGTCCAAAACATAAAAGAGTACTAGGATAAAGTGTGAACAAAATAGTATACAAGAACGTAAAAAATAATACATTCAATGAGCCGAAGTGAAAGTAAAGGTCACTAATCCGTCACATAGCTTTCATGTTTGTACACGACAAAATTGTACGCGATATTTGCTTTCTCTTCCACAGACCACAACTTCAAATGATCAGTTTCACGCTTTGCCTAGCCTCTTTAAATCGAAACAAAGCAGGGTTTTAGTAAAGAGAAGTAGGAAAAATATAGCTAAGCATGCGCATTATAGAATATAAAGAGTAACACATTTTAATGCTAATAAACAACTCACCAGGATAACCTTTTGACTGAACCAAACATTTATACTCAATATTTATGCGTTTTCTCTCCAACGGGCATGGATCATTTGTTATTGACTTTACAGATATATTGCATTCACGTCTCCCTTCACACATTGCCTTTATTTCCGCGAGGAGGTGATGTTTAGAAGAAATGTACAATTGAGAACAGTTTTTATTTTTAATGACAGGCGTTGAACACATTCCGTCAGTAGCTGCGCCAAGTTCTGCCTTCTTGATCAGCAGCACAGTTTTTGAAATCTCGCAAGAGAGCTTTTGGACATCCTCCCTATCACAATAGTTTAGGATCTTCAATTGCCTTCCTAGAATAAGAGTAATCAATTTCGCAATCTGAACGGAACATACAAGGGCGTGGCAAACGAAAGCAAGATTATAACAGGGGGATACATATGCATTTCACAGAACGAATTCGTTGTCCGGATGAATTTTGCATAAAATATGCAACTATCTTCATCCTTTTCAAAATGGAGATCGACAAGCATTTAATTCTCTATCACCCTCGACCGATTTTAAAGACTTTCTCCAAACTCAAAGGTTTGTCAGTTTGGGACTGGGATTGAATTGGCCTTTCTCACGATGACGAACATGCGATAGTGATTTTATCATCCATGATCAGATATTGTAAAATTCCTCCCGCAACAGCGAATCAGATTGCAGGAAAGGCTAAGATTCCACCCACTGCTGATTTGTAAAAAAATAGAAATACAAACTGTGCACCTGGCTGGGTGCATAAAACAGAATGAGCCTCGCTGCAGTTGGTTCGTTGCCATAATGGATCTTTTGTGACCAGTGCACATAATCCGGCTGATAATCCATTTTTTAAACTCTTGTTGCTCAGTTTGTTAAAGACATCCTCATTGTCGTCATTCCATACGAATTTCTTCCCTTGATGTTTATGCCCGTGATAGCCAACCCAAAATGGTAATTTTTTTGAATACAAGCTTTTATAAATTTTTTCTTCGTCTTCGGAGTAGATTTTACCCAATTCCGCACCACGTGCTTTACAGTAGTCGGCAGCGTCAAACCAATTAAGCAAGTTCGTAAATAAAATACAAGAACTTTTGTACTGTTCCTGGCAGCGATTTGTGGTTCGCCATTTTGGACCTGAAAATCAATTATAATTATATAGCTGTATCATTGTTATAGTATGATTAAATACTTTTTTCTATTCGTGATTGTGACGTTAGATGATGTTGGTGCTTGCGGGGGGGGGGGGGGGGTGGGAAACTCGCTAATCTCGACACACACAGGGCCTTAGGTGGAGCTTGAATGGGGGGGGGGGGCTTGTAGATTAACACATTCATCTTAAGCCCGATAGATTTCTTATGTACGCTATCCTTCCTTGTGTAAACACGAATATATGAACATACACCCCCCCAAATTAGGCGGTTTAGCTATGGCCATGCATACTCATTTTTTCTTTTTTGCAATTAGTCTCTGTTCGATAGCCGACAATGTCTGTTTTTTGCCAAATTGGGCTAAAATATGATCACCGATAGAGAGGTCATGGCCATTGCAGGTGCACTCGGTAAATTTTTTTGGTATGTCTTTTAATATTCGCGCGTTTTTGAAATACCTCCGTTCTTATATTAACAAGACGCCGTTCTGGCGTTAACTCCGGCGCACGTGCCAGTCTTCAATATAGAGCTTCTGAACATAAACAATACAGTTCGCGTATTGTTTCGCATACATATTCGCATTTAGATGCCTTGCGAACCTAAATGTTCGATCGCAAAATTCAGAAGCACATCGCAGTATAGAAGTTCAATTGTTCAAAAATGTAAATAAACCGCATGATACATTCGCTTCGTCTTACCCTTTGCCTTTGGAATTCGCGCTTATATAGTTGTATTAAATCTTCGATCCTGTGCAAACTACGCGACGTGTCAACGCGCCCATACACGACCACATCATCTTGTTAAACGGCGAAATAGCAGCGATATTATTAAAATAGGACCGGAATCTACATGTATTAAATATATTCTTACCCCAATTCAATCTAAACTTAATCGAACAGCATGAAAAGAACGGTTTATTTGTTCCTCTTGGAGGAATTGCCGTATCATGCGAGCGAAATCGAATCGCGCATTGGAAAATTAGCCAAAGCTGTGCACCACAACTCTTGGGAGATAAGACTGGGACGTAGATAAATACGGTCACATACACATTTTAAATACTAGTATATTTCGCGCCATTACAGACTTGCGACGACGAAAAGTAATAAAAAAAAAAAAATAAAAAAAACAAAAACAAAAACAAAACAAAACCGGGGCGAATTTTCAACTCCGTCGCTGACGCCAGAGTAATAATTAAATGTGACATTTATCACTTACCATGTCTATCTAACTGATAGGGAAGAAGGTACACCTTTCTATTAAAAACCTCAATATCCGAACCATTGCAATCAAGTCGTGCAGTTAACTTGTATTTTGATGGGGTTTCATCTTTCATAATCACGGTTCCCAGCAATGCAGTGTCCGGATTGTTTTCAATAAATACTCTTGTTCCAACGCTAATTTCAGAGTGATTTGAGGGCTTGGCATTCGAAACGATGTAATTTACGAGATCTGGAGATATTACGTCTATGAAGCTTGGTGTTCTCGTCGGAGAAATATGATTGAGTGAAGATGAAAGGCGACTGTTGTAGAATGCAGTGATGGATCCATCGCTGTTTTGCTTTTTGGACGTTTTGAATAATTTGCCGGATTTTCGCATCCAGGCAGAACCACCTTAAGATATTTGATTAAGTGTTACTTCATAACATGGACGATATGAAAATACAATAACATGGTAAGTTACAAATATGCGGAAAAATTAATAAAAAGAGTAAGGCCTTGTATTTTGTTTCCATTATCTGACCTTGTTGGAAAGTTAAACACGGTTCAATAGAGAATTGTATTTCGTCAATTCCAAAGTAAGACTGCGCACAAGGTATTACTATGTCAAACGTAATCTAGTTAAGACAAAAAATACTTTACGAAACATTTCAGGCATTGGAACTAAACGAGGGATCGATATCAACTACCTTCGACTTTTTTTCGCATCTTTCAAGTGGCATCTCAGTAAACCACCAGTGATTTTCGTCTTTATCTGACAGGTAATGGCGCATTCGAAGAATGTTTTCGTCATGTTCTTGAGCAGAGGTAAATGACATCTCGGGGCAATAAGAGAACGCATACCAAAATGACATGCACTGATATTTTTCTGTCATTTCATTTGTCAAAGTTGCCCAGAGTTTTCCAGATGTTATTGTCTTTAGAAAATAGCCTATCGAAAAAGAAAAGCAAAATACCACTGTCTGGCACAATGCAAAGAAAGGATTTAAGAAAAAAATTCGCTAGCTCCCAAAGTAAGCCCAAGCTGCTACTGGAAACAATTGTGTGAGAATCAATCTTCGGATTTATGGAACTAGTAGATTCGTATCCTACGTAATGCGTATAAATATGAAATGTGAAAAAAATGAAACACACCTTGTGGCATGAGACGATTCCTGTCCCGTACTCGCTTTCGTTCCCAATCCCCGACCGTTTCCCAAATACAGTTTTCTTGAAACGAGCAAAATGGAGAAGTATCTATTTCATGAAACACAAAAATTAAAATTAGCTCGTCGATTGTTATGATTCACAATGTTTATAAATTTTTTTATACCTTCATGGACTTGAGAACAATTTTTCTGAACCATTGAGATATCATCTACTGCAATGTCTCCCAGAGCACCATCCCCACAAACACCCTCAATAAGCAACTGTAAGTTATAAAATATTAGTATGCACCTGACTATTGTCTATTATAAATCCTACATTCTGATTGGCTACTCAACCATTGTCTATTCGTGATGGTGCACGCTTGGGAAAAATTCGTTCGCGCGACCGTATAAAATTGAATTAGTTAAAATATTTTTCGGTGTAATTGCCGTGTACCGATTATTTTCTTGAAATTGATATATCTAGGTACAGGGTGTATACTAAAACAATTAGACAACTCGCCTTCTATCCTAAGTACACCCCAGGATACTACAGTTTGTATTAACTGCTCCATTCCCAATGTAGGTAAAAAATACTTTTTCTGTGCTATTTTATAAAATGTTAGCGCCATTTTTGTAAACCTAGAGACATTTTTGGTATACCTATGACTAATTTCACATTTAGGTTTTTTATTACTTTTTTTATAAACTGTGTATGCTGCAATACACGCAGTGGTCAAGACATTGGTAACGTGGCAAGCATGAGGTTTTCGGCCAGTTTGTATTTTCGAAAAGATGTTTAATCTGTTTTTCTATACTCACATAAAACTTTTCCCCAGATTGAATATCAAACCAGCCTGTTTCCCACATATCATTGGCAGGCTTATTCCTTGTCCACATGAGGAATTTGTCAGTTCCATTCAAAGATTTATATATTTTGAGGCTGCCAATATCTATTCCATACATATGATATTGAAAAGTAAAGCAAAAGTTGATATTACTCTGAAAAGGTCCAGCTTTCAGCAATGCTTTATCATCCTTCACACGCGGTTCGCTTGCTTCGATATATATGTATGATCCTAAAGAATATTATGATCATAATTATGACGATCGGCCAGGTATTTTCACCCTGGATTGACTCACGTCAGGCTGGGCGGTTAACGTGAATATTTAGTACCAAAATACATGAATTAGCAAGACAAACATACAATTACACGGTTTTACATAGCTAGACGGTTCGTCCTGTGAATTTACAGTGTCAAATTCTACCTTCTATGGACCCTGTGGTGTGATCAACATTCGGCCCAGTGAACTTGGAAGGAGTTGAGCCACTGTTTATTGACCAATCAAAGTTATCCCCACCATCAAGGACCTGTTCCCAATTGCAAAGGCCACTCCTCTCGAAATCGCAACTGCCTATAAAAGGATTTATATATGGCATTCTATGTAGACAATACCTTCTATAAGTAAACTACGTGGGAACATAAACAAGGCTCGACGAGTGCAACCAATATCCAAGTTAAGATGATAATTTTACCAACCCTCCGCGAACTTTTCACAAAAAGTCAAATTTGCGGATTCTTCAAAGCAACTGAGATCATTGAGCGGACATCTTTTTTTGTCAACTAGAGAAATGAGAAATACAAAAATGAGAATTCCATGCATATAATGCCAGGGCAAGTGCACACAACGCATCTAAAACGCAACAATTTCGTTGGAAATAACGTGAAGTAACATTGGTTTCGAAGACGCCGGGTACAAATTCATTTGATATTTTTAGACTGAATTTTATATAAAATAACAAAAGAAAAACGCGCATACATTCTGTTGTCCAATAGCACACGTGTGGTTCATCTGCTCCATCCGGACAATCCCAAATTCCGTCACATGTTAAATTCCAGGGAATGCAAAGGCCACTTGGACAATAAAACTGCCCATGCTCGCAACTACTGTCTGCAAAGCCGAATAAGTTAGTGATGGTAACAGTGCAAAGACACAAGGAGGTGTATAAATGAAATGAATATTGTGATGTTGTTCCGAGTCACCAAACGGGTAAGCTGTAAAATCAGCTTGAAGTTAGTAATACTCATATAATGAGGCCTTTATCATTGTAGAAGGACTTTTACTGAACCTTAATCTCTCAAACTCGACGATTCCAAGATAAACATAAGCTGTCCAGTACCAAAGAAGGGTATATATAATATTAAGCTGTACAAACCTAAGACACCATATTAGGCATTCACAAGTGTATAGAAAAGGAGAACTTAAATCATTAACGTACCACAATTCCGTTCATCACTGCCGTCGTCACAATCTTTTAACCCGTTACACAACTTTCTGGCATCGACACATCTTGCTGACTCCTCACATTTGACTTGATCGGCGAGACATTCACAAAATAACTCATCTGAACCATCAGCACAATATCGGTCCCCATCACATTGATAGCCTTTCTTGATACACTGCCCGTTGCCACATTCAAACTTTTTAGGCGAACATATATATTCTGTGGTGGAGTGAAAAAAAAGCTAATTCATGTGACATTTTATGACGGTTTCGAGGATGAAAACGAACGAAATTTTACAGGATTTTAGATGATTTGTCTATAATGCTACTGCATACATACATGTTTTAGAGGAACAAGAAACGAAGAGAGAAAACTGTTTTTTCCAATTTTTCAACGTTAATAGCAAAAGTAATTTAGCTTGTACGTATACCACGTAAATTAAGAATGGAGAAAATTATTTATTGATTGTCACCATGCAAACATTCAAGAATATTATGTTAATAGCAAAGTTTAGCACTGCATGATAAGCAAAAATAATAAGCACCCACCAGGATCAGCATAGAGTGGTTGGACCTTTACGTTGCAAGACTCTGTTTTTACCAAAATATTCGCAATAGCGACCATGGTATCTGGTTGAATGACTTGCCCTTCAAAGATAAACTGTAAAATAGGAAAAATAGAGATGAGTTTATAGAAGAAAAACGTGCGTCGAATTGTTATAAAAGGACAAAACTAGTATAAAATTTTCTGACATCATAATATACTACCGAAAGATTTTCACTTGGCCAATACGTGATCTCCCCATATTTCCAAACGTTTCCATGGTTACCATGGATTTTCCAAACCAACGTTTTCTTCCCAGACAAGGTTGCAAAATACATCGACAACGTATTGTTATCTCCTGTGATTTTATACTGAAAGCTGAAACATATTCCTGTTCTGTCCAAGAACTTGTGGTATTTGATCCACTTGTACGAAAATGAAGATGTCACATTCTCCATACTCGAGATAAGATATATTTTACCTGCAAAATTATAAGCGATAGCTTTTCACGAATCCTTCGTTTAAACTTAGGGACTGAAATAATATTCTGCGTGCATACTGCATTTACTTCCCAGGAATACGTATTGGAATATATATCAGTTTATAGAATATATGTATCTGAGGCCTGTGCTTCTTCAAAGTTTGTATGGAATGATCTGAGTTGATATGGAATGTTTTGAAGACTCTGAAGACTCTTTGATAATTGCCTTCTGCTAGGTTCATCTAACCAAAAAACATTGAACTCAATTATAGAACTAAAAATTTGAGTTAAAGATCCAAAGAGCTGTTGAACTGGTATTCTAGATTATCGCCAGCAAATACCTATTCCATGAAGCATTCGCGTTATAAACTCAAATTTGTCGTTTTAGCATGTTTGATTTGTGTTCACCACCACATGAAATTTATTAAGCCCCGTTTACACTACACTGAATTTATCAGCACTTGGCAATGAATGTTAAACTAATTGCATAGCGGAATAAAAACTCCCATACTTTATCTGGTCCCAATGTAGGTAGAAAGGAAGCAGTCGCTTGAGCTTGGTTCATGCACACGAGTAAAATATCTATTTACCCTTCGTGACGTTTCTGAGGTTATTGTGTCATATAAAATTATTCCTCCGATGAACCAGTCGTCTGCGCTAGTGGACGATTTCCTATTTATTTGTGTATCTTCAGGTTTGTATTTATGACTCACATCAGTTCCATTGGGTGAAACAATGTTTGCATAAGTTTTCGTATGGACCTTCCCTTATTTTTTACCATTTGCTATACGTACAGGGTGAGAATACATTTTAACTACCAAAGGGAACAAACTTAATTTTCAGGTTGATTAATATGATATGCTTCGTATACCCATGAGATATTTTAGGCAACTTCTGTCACATTATATACAGCCACTATGCGCCTAATTTGAATTTCAAAGGTGTCAGTTTTTTTACTCACCTGTATTGTTATTATACAGGGTGTATCAAAAAAAAGGAGACCTTTAGAAATCAAGCTATTGTTAAAATTTGAATGCTTTTTTAATTGCATTTGCACATATGCTAAACCGTAGTGCGTTAAATATTGATGGCATGCATGCATACATTAGAAAAAGGAGACCTTTAGAAAATGAATTGACGTTTGTACACAAGATTGTCTGCTCCTGGGAATTTGAAAATAACTTTAATAGCATAAGGAAAAATAACGACCCAAAAATATTCAAATGACTAAGCACAAACGACTAAGCACAAAAGCGATAACAGTATGCGTGGTAAATTGCTTTAGCTGCTCCTTCAAAACATGAACAAATCATTTGTTCATTAATTTTTAACACTGCGTGCGAGCATTAGGGCTGTTCACATGAGTTAGAATCAGAGTTGCAAAAAAGCTGCGGGTACGCGGTTACCACCCGGAGGAAGGTTTGCTTTCAATGAGGTTTGTGAAGAAGGTTCAAAGTTGAACACTCTAATTGATCACATGCATGTACCAAAAACCAAATATTTCTTTATCCTGGTTGCCACTTGACTAAGTGACGTAACGTCATTTTGAGGAAGGTTTTCAAAACTTGAAATCCTACCGGAGGAAGGTTGAACTCTTTTTGCAACTCTGGTTAGAATTGACTTTGAATCCGGAATGGCTCAGCATCCCATTTTACAAACTCTGCCTATTAAAATGTTTACATGAGTCAGGAATGAATTACAACTTGATCTGACACAGATTCACTTGACATTTCGATCCGAATTGAAAATTACTGATAAATTGAACATCAAAAGAACTGCATGTCATGGACCATGACCTCCAACGTGGCCTCCATTTCTCTAAACACAAACAACCGTACGCTTGTGCATATCGCGAACTGCTTTTCTGATGACGGCAGGTTGGGTATAAGTTAAGGCTACAAAAACTCTTTGCTCCGAAGTTAGTTGAACCATTTTTGTTCTGGTAGTGTGCTTAGTCATTTGAATATTTTTGGGTCGTTATTTTTCCTTATGCTATTAAAGTTATTTTCAAATTCCCAGGAGCAGACAATCTTGTGTACAAACGTCAATTCATTTTCTAATGTATGCATGCATGCCATCAATATTTAACGCACTACGGTTCAGCATATGTGCAAATGCAATTGAAAAGGCATTCAAATTTTAACAATAGCTTGATTTCTAAAGGTCTCCTTTTTTTTGATACACCCTGTAGCTTTAGCTTTTAACCTTTTCTTTTCACCGGAGTCCGCGCTTAAGTGCATTCCAAACAATCAGTCTGCCATTATTAGATTCGCTTGCATCGTGACTACATTCTCGGGGCCGGTTGTACATAAAAGATCTATTTTTATACTACATTTCGCGGAATTAAATGACTTAAATCCTTGTTAACTCAGAAATACACGACTCTGATTAACGTATCGTAATAAATATACAACACAAGCGATACTATGGCCCAATTTACACTATACCGGATCCGCTTTTCACGATATCTTTCCTTTAAAGGGCGACGGTTAGTAGCAAATGCTTATTAGTTTGATAGATTTAGGGGCCGATTACACGGGCTGAAATTTAGCAAACGATTATATGAGTAATCTTTGCCGGGCTGAAATTTAGCAAACGAAGAAAATTTAGCAAACGCAGACGCCATTGTTGTTTATGCATGTGTGTAACACTGTGCATGTGTTGACGAATACCCAGCCCGGTTTGCCGGGCTGAGACGATTACATGCTAACTTTCAGCCCGGAAAGACGGGCTAGCCCGGTTGACATAACCGGGCCAGCCGGGCTGAAAGTTCGCATGTAATCGAAACGTGAAAATTGCTTGCGATAATAATTTATAGGAAACGGGCTAGCCTGGCAAAGCGGGCTAGCCCGGTCCATGTAATCGGCCCCTTACTATACTTATTTCGATATCTGATAGTAAAATTTCTTACTGCCTTTTAATAGCTACAAAATTTGACCCACACCGGAAGCAATACGGATACTGTAGACGAGGCCTATATATGCCTGCGTGGCGTTGCACAGATTGCATTGAGTGAACGCTATAAGGATATTCTAGAACTTACCATGTTTATTTCCAGTTTCAACTTTCTGCATCCAGCCGTGGAAATTTACGATGCTTTTCGTTTCGCATAACTTTGCTGATTTCAGGAGGCAGGACGTCAGTATCATTGCTGTCATAATTTTAATAAACGGTGAGAAGTCCGCAGATTTTAAAGACTCGCAAAAACATCTGGTGTTTGCAGTCGATACAAACAATCAACGATGTGAATTCCATTTGAATGTGTCAAGTAACGCACTTGCAGTCAAGCTTTTAATTATTACGTTAACCTGTGAACTCAAATGCTGCTGGAACGTTAACACCGCCATCTTTAAAATTGAAGGCAATATTCGGTGAAAATGGGGAGTTTACCTCAAAGTCAAAAGGACGTGAGAGACACTCAACTTTCTTTCGACAGTGCAACGTAGATGCAGCCAGTGGCGTAGCCAGTCTGACGATTTTGTCCCGCTATGTAAATTTCGAGTTATTATAATTATTCATGTCTTTAGAAATTTATTGTTTTCACAGTCAATGAACACAAAATATTAGCATAGCGGGACAAATCGGCAGGCTGGCTACGCTACTGGATGCAGCTTACATCAACAATGTAAAAATCGTTTTTTTATTGTAATTCTATCGTGTCCATTCGACAGATTTTAAATTTTCGGGTTAAGGAGAAGATATAAAGTCGATGTCAATTTCCTTTTTTTAGAAGACATTTTGTTATCATGCATATGGGAACAAAATGAAATGAAAGGCAGTGAAAGATTTTTAAACGCGCACCCTGTGTCATTTTAGACTAGCCGATTATTACAACTATACGAATTTCACCATGAGAAATCGAGATGAAGTGCAGGAAAGTCAGGCTAGCCGCTAACGGCGGATTCTAGTAAATAAATTTTACTAAAACGTAAACTGCTTTAATACATTATAACTGACCCCGAAACCGCTAATCGCGCAGGTGCGCTAATTGCTTAGAAGTATTTTCCCTGCACCTCGGTAAAACGGGATCCGTAGATTCTGAAACTGTTACGCAATTGTATTAGCGCTCCAGGATGAAACTTACGATTTAGCCGCACTGTTCCAATTTTCTCAACATTATCAAGATAAGAAGAGTTGATTCCGGGGTTAATGAAATCATACGACAGTCGCCGTTTACCTTGTAACCCATCTAGACAAATATTTTTAACACGATTGGTTCAATGCTTGATTCAAATGGAACGATATAACAGTTAGTGCAATGTTCGAAACTACAATGTGATGTGGCGTGTAGTTATGTTTCCACACCAACGTTGAAATAATAATTATTAGGAAGAAATACTTACATAGATCGGTTTTGCACCAGGGAGCATGAATTGGTTTTTCAAATGTAAGGATACGTAACCTTCCTGAGAAATACTTGGGCTCGATGTCGTAACACATTTGATGTTACCACCAAATGAGAGAAATACTGCGACAGGACAGTCACCACAATACGATCCAACGCATTCAACGTCGTAAAATCCTGACACAAAAAACAAACAGGAAACAATGAAGAATTTCTTTTTGGAATAAGGTGCAATTTTGTTCACATTTTTTAGGCAAGGCCAATCAAAATGCCTAAAGTTTTAATGCTTATGTAAATAAATTATATACTTTTATCGGAAGTAATCAATATTTATCCATTCTGTTTTGGTTACTGAAATGAGCTGTTACTGTACTCAAACAGCGACTCTAAGGCTCATTCAAATGTAAATAAAAATCTCTTTGTCTACCCCTTAATGTGATCACAATTTTAGCCGTTCAGTTTTTTTACTTATTGGGAATAATGCAAGGCGTATATTGAAGTTGTCTGCGTGTTAATTTATACACATTTCGTACTCACTGTTTGTGATCAACTGATGAAGTGGAAAATTGTGTTCAACTGATGAGGAAACACGATAAACACAGAAATGTCAGTTTGAACCTGAAACTTTGGCATGGCAGCAATACT